TCAACCTCATAACCCTGTGAGCCATCAAAATGGTAATGATCTTATTTGATAGATGGGAAAGCAGAAGCTCAGAAATCTAGTAGTTGGTCAAGCTTCACACAGCCAAGAAGACCCGATTAGAACTCTGGCCTATCTGATTCAAGTCCTAGTCTCAGTACGTTGCAACACAGGGCATGGGGATCTTCATGTCCAGCGCCCTGAAAATTAGCTAGACTACACATGACTTGGAAAGGCCTCAGCATCTAGAGCGGAGGTCATGAAGGACAGCGCCATGGTATGGAGATTAATGTGGCTGGCCCAAAGTAGTACTTTTACGAAAAGTAAAGGTCTTATTAAATAAGCTTGAACTTTGCATGAGAAAATAGCGAGGTTATGGACATCTCAGTGCAAGTACAATGGCAGGCAATGCCTGTAGACCCTTTCCCATTTGCTGAAGGAGGGCAGCATCCATTCCTGTTGACACACCACTCTACGGTTTCTGAAATTATGGAGGGGGGGACATTTAGAGGATGCAGGGAAGGATTTTCTTTGTGTTCTGACTCTAGTGCCTTTTTCTTCCACCCAGGGAATTTCTTCGTTGGGTCCTCTTCAGCATGCAGACCACAGGCCATGTGCTGCTTGGCACCTCCTGTTATATGCAGCAGCTCCTGGATGCCACAGAGGGAGGGCAGCCCCCTGAGGGCAAGGCCCGATCGCTCATCCCGACCTGTCTAAAGATGCTGCAGTGAAGGCTCCAGTCCTTGGAGGCACTCCCCAGGCAAAGACTAGACTGTGGCCCCCATGCTCAGCTAGTAGCATCACAAACTGGCAGCTAGACACTTCTTACCTCGCCACGCCTTCCTCACCCATGCAGGACCATGAAGGAAGAAGCCTTCCCAGGGGGAAAGGCTAGAAACCTGAGGGTTCTTAGCCTGGCCCAGCCCTTCCTGTCCAGCGTAGCTTAGCTGACCAAGAAAGGTCACACCAGTAGGCTAGGCACGAAGTCTGCCCCTCAGCTACTGTCTTCATATGCTCCCCACCTCCTGGCCTCCCAGCCCTAATACTCCTTTGTGAACCACCAAGCCCACTAGTGTATGACATTAGAGAGCTCACATTACATTATTTATGCTGATACTTCTTTGCTTGTGTTCTTTGGGGGTGAGGGTGGGACTCTGTCTGGAAGGTTGGAAAGGTGTAAGGGAAGAGAGGAATCTGTTGTCAAACCATTTTTCAAAATGTGGGGTTACAGGAAACAGGACTTTTTCTACCAACAAAAAAAAATTTTGATTCTGGAGCTAATGTCTGCTCAATCAGAGACTTGAGCAGACCATGTAATCAATACGATAAAGGACAATAAAATCTGCCTACCAGAAGGACTTTGAATGGCAAGGTGGGACTAAGGCACTCTTCTACTTTCTCAGTGTTACATTTTATTACAATCTTTTAAGCGTTTAGGTGGGAAAGGACTTGCCAGGCCATAACACAACCCTCCGTCAGTGCTCTCCCTAGCTTGCCAGAAGCTTATCTTTCATGTTCAGCACTATCAACTTCAGGATTTCAAAATGAGCTGTTCCTTAGCCACAAAGAATATTGGTTTCTCATCAGTGAGAGCTGACATTTTTCGATCTAGAGCAACTCAAACAAGATAAGCAGGAAAGGCCAAGTTTGTAGGTGACTGTGCTTTAGTGCGTGACTCTCAGATTCAAAAACATGTCATTTCTGCCCCTGAATAGAAAGCCTTTTTGGGTTTTAGATACAAAGTCCTGTGTTACCAAAACTAGAGTCTGGAAAGTTATTGCTGCTGGCAGCTGATCCAAGCCTGCGGCCATGTGTGGGAGGAGCTGCAGAGCTAGCAAAAACAGACTTTCTATTCTGGGCTGTCTCCTGCTCTTGCATTTAAGGCCAGAGGCCTGGCTCAGTGCTATCCTGGCTCTGTGGGGTAGGCCTTCCCTATGGGGGCACGATGTTTACATCAGCATAGAAGCTCCTCCTGGTCAACACTTGCAGAGGCTGCAGCCTACCTGCCCACCACCCCCCGCCTTTTTTAACATTTATGTATTTTTTTTAAGTAAATGCTACACCCAGTGCCCAATGTGGGGCTTGAGCTCACAACCCCAAGATCAAGAGTCGCATGCTCTACAAATTGAGCCAGCCAGGAGCCCTTATTTTTTTTTAAGTTTCTTTTAAATTTTTTTAAAAGATTTTACTTATTTATTTATTTATTTATTTGTCAGAGAGAGAGAGAATGTACAAGTAGGAAGAGTGGCAGGCAGAGGGAGAAGCAGGCCCCCCGCTGAGCAGGGAGTCCGAGGCGGGACTCAATCCCAGGACCCTGGGATCATGACCTGAGCCGAAGGCAGATGCTTAACTGACTGAGCCACCCAGACGCCCCTTTTAAAATTTTTTTAAGTAGGCCATCTGCCCCTCTTGTGAAGTTAGTCACAAGTTAGTCACTCACAAGCTAGTTGGGCTGGGGGTCCAGAAGTTTGGAATTTGTCCAAACGTCCCTCCTCCTAAGATTCAGAGTTTCACAAGTGAGTCTTAAGTGACTGACCAGGGTCTCTTGGCACTGAGCCCAGTCAGCCTACAGAAAATTAGGTTCTTTTCTTCCAGGAACTTGGGAGACTGACCAGTTGTCAGCACTGAACAGGATAGGGCAGACTTTGATGAGGCTGGGATATGTGAAAGGAAAATTCCAGAGAGCATAGGACCTCAGGAGAGCCAGAGGCCAGTCCAAATGGGGGAAAGGCCCTCCTGTGGCCAAGTGCCACAGTGGAGGAGAGGTCTGGTGCAGTTAAGGCACACTGTGTTCCAGCCCCTGGGCCTTAGTCTTTCCGCTTTTGCTCAAGCTGGTACTTGCGAAAGCACAGGAGGCCTTTCAGAAGAGGGGTTCTAAAACGCCGTGGGGCCTTATGACAAAGCACAGTACTGTCTGAGCCCAAAACAGGATAAAAATCACTTGTATTCTTGCCAAATATCTTGCCAGCTCTGTCTCTATTTGTGTACATCTACTAAAAAATTGATTGTTTAAATCTTTGAATTAAAAAAATAAGTTTCTTGAGGTATAATTTACACATAATAACATTTTCCCTTTTAATGCATAGACAATTAAATTTGGGCAATGTTTTGTTTTGGTTTTGGTAATTTTTTAAAAGATTTTATTTATTTATTTAGAGAGAGGGAGAGAGAGCACGCACACGCACACACACACACACACACACACACACACACACTTGGGGGGAGAAGCAGAGGGAGAGGGAGACAGAATCTCAAGCAGACTGCACTGAGCATAAGCCTGAATTGGGGCTTGATCCCACGACCCCAAGATCATGACCTGAGCCGAAATCAAGAATCAGATGCCCAACCGACTGAGCCACACAGGCGCCCCAGTTTTGGCAAATCTATAACGTTATGTAACCACCATTTCTAGCATACTGAAAAGTTCCCTTATGCCCTTTCTAATCCCCATCCCCCAGCCACCCAAGCCCCTGGCAACCCCTGACTCTTTTCTACCAATATAGTTTGCTTTTTCTAAAATGTCATGTAAGTAGAATCATATAGTCTTTTTTAAAGAAGTATTTCTACTTATTTTTATTTAAAAAAATTTGTTATTTAAAACATTTGATGAATCATACAGTCTTCCATATTTGGCTTCGATTTTTAAACCAGGTTTGCATGTGTGCATGTAGATGAAATATATCAATGAGATTAAAAAAAAACACAATTCCAAAGGGTAAAAATCATTATTCATCTTCTCACTTCTGATTCCTTCTCCAGAAGCAAACATCATCTCATTTTTGTGAGTCTGTTCAGAAATGCAGAGACATAAAATGTATAATAAATATATGTAAATCACATACACACACATATGCATCTTCTAGTCACACTGTCCTTTTCTTTCCTTTTTTGCTTTAATATATATTTGGAGACTGTTTCATATCAGCACCTACAGACATACACATTCCTTGATTAATGGCTGTGTGGTATGGATATGTTACAACTGACTTAGCCAGTCCTTTGTTGATGAATTTAGGTTAATTTACATTCTTTTCCTAATGCAAACAGTGAATTGAAAGTTACAGTGCTCTTAGTAAATAAGTAAAATAATATACAGGTTGCATGTAACTTTTGTATAGTTGTAATTATAGGATAGAACTCATTTTGTTCCTTGCTCTCTCTCTCTCTCTTTTTTTTCTTTTTACATAACATCTCATTTCTCCTGTTGTTCCCTGCCTCTGCCTCCCCTCCTCCCAATACCTCTTCCTCCTGGTGAATTTCTATTCGTTGTTCACAACCCTTCCATCACAACGCATGCTGGGACTAGCTCCTCTCCCTTCACCCTCTCAGCATCTGCGTAGGGTTTAGCAAGGTGGGCTGTGATGCTGTGATCTGTGTGCACTCGGTGATCTTCTTGTGGGCAGGGCCTCAGTCTTGTTGATTTCTGTGTTTCCAGCTCAAAGATGCCAGGGTCTGGCATAGAGTTAGCATTTAAAAAATGTTGACTCGGTGATGTATTAGATTTATTTCCCCTATAGAGCTAACCTAGGACAGTACGTTTCCAGTTTTGAGATTTGTTTTGGTTTTGTTTTGATAAATAATGTTGTAGTGAATCTCATTCTCCCTCTGGCCTTCTTCTCCTTTTGGATTGATTATGCACCTGTCTTTTTTTGTTTGTTTGTTTTGTTTTTCCTTCTTCTCAATTTGCCTTACCCAAAATTGGGCACAACGGTGGTTTTTTGAAGTCAGAGGCTCCTACGAATTGGAATGGTAATCAGAGTACCTTAACCTTTCGTTCCTGTTTTGTCTTAAGAGAGGTCCTCTGATCCCGAGTAAATTCCTTCTCAGCTCCGTGCCTCAATTTCCCCAAAAACACAGACGTGAGGTAAAGCGTTTTCTTCCTGGGCGAAGGCGAAGCTCCGCCTTCTCAGGGCTCTGAGCCCGCCTGCTCGCTATTCCGATCGACAGGCAATCTGACCAATCAGCGTGCTATAGCCAAGCGGGTCGGCCCTTCCGGACACACGTGCGTTGTCGCCCCTCGGGAGATGAGTGGCTGTCGGGGTCTGGGCCACCTTTGGGGTGGCTGGCGGCGGGGGCCGGGGGTCCGCGCAGCGCGCGAGGCCGCAGGCTTTGGCACCGAAGCCGGGTGATTACGCCTCCCTCCGCCGCTTCGTGTGGGTGGGACGGTGGGGCCGGGTAAGGTGTGTGTGGGATCTGGAGTTAGGTAGGCGTGCGTGGGTTCTAATCCCGCCGCTACTGTGTGACCCTGAACTACTCACTTGGTTTCTCTGAGCTTCAGTTCCCTCCTCTGCAACATGGGGCCAGTTGGTCCTGAATTTTCGGGAAGCTCATCCAGGCATTTTGAGGCATTTGTAGGAGGTGACAGGATTTAAGGTGTGTGGCGATAAGAATGGACACACCTCAGGAAACAGTGATCTTGTTGCTTACCCCACCTTTTCCAGACATCAGCTGCGACGTCGAGGATCCAGGAAACGGTCGGGGCCCCTGGGGGACCAGCCCTTCCCGGGGCTGCTGCAGCTAGAGAACCTCAGTCGGGAGGGGCTGGTTGATGTGCTGAGGGCAGCCGTAGTGGACCAGAAAGGTGAGGGGTGGGAGGGGCAGCTGCACAGACATCTGGGAGGGGAGCCTGTGGCTCAGAGCCTTCTGGGGCTGACTGGGCTCCCAACCAAAGCCTTTGGGGGTCATATCCTGGTTCTGTCTCCCACTAGTAGTATGACCTGGAATCAGCCACGTAATCTGTCTGAGCCTTAGCATCATGGGCATGGGGATGTGAGGGTGCAAATAGAGCCTTGAACATAGTAGGCACTTGGTAATAGGAATTGCTATAATAAATTATTTATGGACAAAACACAGGCTTTGAGGTCAGATCTAGGCTCTGTAATCAGCTTACTGTGTGACTTTAGGAAAATAATTTCTGTGAGCCTGAGTCTCCAGTGATTTATTAATTTTCTCAACTATTTATTGAGCATAGGTTCTATTCCAGACACTGTTCCAGTTATACAGTGCTGAACAAGGTAAATATGGTTCCTGCTCTCAGGGAGCCAATGTTTTAGTGGGAGAAATGGATTAACCAGGAAATAAATGAACAAGGTACCTACTACTGATCAGTGCTATGAATAAGACAGGGTGTTATAACTGTGTGGCAGACATTAGATTGGAGATTCAGGCCTCTCTGTGGTAGTGACATTTGAGCCAAGAGGATATGAAAGAGCCAGACAGGTGAAAATCTGGGACTGAGGAAAATCAAGCAAGTATAAAAGCCTAAAGTGGCAACAAGCTTAGCATATGCCAAGGACTGAAAGAAGTTCAGTTTAGGGTGTGGTTGATAATTCATGTCTGAGAGTTGTAGTGGGGCCAGTTGAATTGAGAAAGTATAAACTCTAACTGCTGCTTTTGTGTCACTGATGCTCACATACTGTATGTTCTAGGACCTCTCGTGACACTGAATAAGCCACCGGGTCTACCAGTGACAGGTATGGGCAGGGGGCGGGAATGCAGTGGAACAGGATTTGATGGCGGGATAATGAAAAGAAGGAGATGGTGGCATGAAGCCAAAGGCCTCTGAGAGCAACTTGTACTTTTCCTTCTTTTTTTTTTCCCCAGGAAAACCAGGGGAGTTGACGTTGTTCTCGGTGCTGCCAGAGCTGAGCCAGTCCCTGGGGCTTAGAGATCGGGAGCTCCAGGTTGTCCAAGCATCTGGGAAGTAAGTGGGGGGGGAGCGGGGGGGGAGCGGTGGGTGATGGGAAGGTAGCAGGGCAGGCCTCCATCTTGGGTGAGGGAACAGTTGCTTGGAAATAGGCTGAGACATTTTTCATAGGCTGGTTTGGGATAGAGGAAGGATGCAAGGAAAAGGAGGGAACGGACAGATCTGGGTTCAAATCCATATGCACAAACTGTGATCTTAGGCAAAGCATGAAACCTCACTGAGCCTCAGTTCCTTAATCATAAAATAGAGCAAATCATACCTATGCTCAGTGTGCAGTCACTTCTCCAATCCCATAATCACGGCGGGCATTGCTAGTTGATCCATGATATTCTTTCCTCTAACTGCCATCAATTAGAGCTAGTACTGGAGATGAAATATTTCTGAAATTCCACAAACTCATAGGCTTGTGGGGGAGTTTAAATATTTATGAGCCAGTATACACAAAATTCCTACTATAGGGCCCTGTGCATTGTAGGCATTCAGCAGTGGATGGTAATCGTTACGACATTTGGCTTTAGCTACTTGGGGACCAGGGGAGAATGAGAAACCTTTAAATTATGTAGTCTTATTGTCAAACATGAGGAAGTCTTACTTGTTTCTCAGGAGGAAGTCTGGGTTATAGTTCTGGTGACCACTTGGCCTTAAGCAGATCTGTGTTCCTTCCGAGGGGTCTCCCTTTTTTGTGGGTGAGCCCAAGGGACTTTAACTTTTGTGATTTATCCTCTTTCTCCAGAGAGACCTCTGGGCTTGTACTCCTCTCCAGCTGCCCTCAGACAGCAAGCCGCCTCCAGAAGTTCTTCATCCACTCACGGAGAGCACAGAGACCCACAGCCACCTACTGGTGAGAGGTGCCGGGAGGCTCCTGGGGAGTAGGGGGGTCCTGGCAAGCCGCCTGGTGACCTCCTCCTGCCTCTCTCTCAGTGCTGTCACTGATGGGATCCCAGCTTCTTCTGAGGGGAATATCCAAGTCGCTCTGAAACTGGAACACATTGATGGCATTGATCTAGTGAGTCATGATCTGGGAGGGAACAGGAGGGGACTTTCCAAATATATTATCCCTACAGAGGAGTCAAGGGTATAGACTTGGGGTGGCTGGCTCTCCTGTCCCCTAAAATAGGCAAGTGACCACTGCTTATACTCTGGCTCCATCTTTTGGGAGGAGCAGAGAGGGTCTGGGCGTAGCTCCAGATGTGTGTGAAGCTTGTTCATTCTTGGGCTGACACTACAGGTAATTCCAGTGAAGTCCCCATCCCGAAAGGACTTGCAAGAAGGTGTCAAGAGGACCCTCAGCCACTTCCATGTGGTGGCCAGGGGCTTTGGCTGTGCCCTGGTCCAGCTGCAGCCACTGACAGGTGGGTCTGGAACCCTGGCCAGCCTTCACAACTGTATTTGGCTGGGGGAGGTAAGGAGGGTGGGAGGAAGGTGGTGGTGTTAATGGCAGCTTGGGGAGCATTTGATGGATTCCAAGGGTATAGCCCAGCTAGAGGAGACAGCGCTTCTGCTGCCAGTCTGATCATCATTCCTTTGTAGCCCATCTGTTTTCTTCTCTTAGTTGTTGGTCTCAGGATCTTCTCTTTGTCTTTGGTGTTCTGTGGTTTCACTGTGCTGAATCTAGGTGTGTGGGCTTAGTTTTATTTATCTTGCTTGGAATTCACTTTGCTTCCTGAATCTGAAGATTAATATGCTTCATCAATCCGAGAAAGTTCTTTCTCTTCAAATGTTGTACCTCTTGCATTTTCTCTATTCTCTTCCTTTTGAATGCCTAAGAGATGTGTCTGACCTTCTCATTCTACTTACTAAGTCTCTTTTCTTTCATATTTTTCATTTCTTCATCCCTGCTGCATTCTTGGTAATGTCTGTCTTTTTTTTTTTTTTAAAGATTTTATCCATTTATTTATTAGCGAGTGAGCGAGAGAGAAACAGCATGAGAGGGGAGAGGGTCAGAGGGAGAAGCAGGCTCCCCGCTGAGCCGGGAGCCCGATGTGGGACTCGATCCCAGAACTCCGGGATCATGACCTGAGCCGAAGGGAGTCGTTTAACCAACTGAGCCACCCAGGTGCCCTTGGTAATTTCTTTAGATCTATTTTCCAGGTGAATAATTTTCTGTTCAGTTGGATCTAATCTGCCAGTTCAGCCCACCTGTTGACTGTATTTTTCTTCACTTCTAGAAGTTCTGTTTGGTTGTTTTACAAATAAAAATGGCCTTATATAGCATTTTTTTTCTCATATTATTTGTTCAGGTTAAATATACTGATACTGTATTTCTACATTTTCATTGTCTGAAATTCTGGAGGGCCTAATCCTATGATGTTTCATACTGACTCTCACACTTGGTAGATTGTTTCATTGCTCTGTGATTCAGGATTGTGAATTCAAGTTCAGCTGGGCCTTTATCTGTGGAAAGCTTGTGTTGCCTCACTGTAGGTAGGGCCTTCGGGAGAGGTTCTGCCTTTGCTTCTGCCAAATGCCCCAGAGCTGTCACTGCTTCAGGATCTCCTTAAATATTAATGTCTTGGTTGGAAGTTCACAGATCACTCTGGTATTAATTTGGGTCCCAAGCCTGTGTGAGATCAGGCTCATGGTTGTGAATTCTTAGAGGAAAACTTCTTCATTCCCCTCATCCACACCTATGGTGATCATCTGCCTTCATCGGTGGCTGGCTTTTTCTCCTGGTTCACCCCTTCACTGAAGATATAGCCCCTCTAGGATTTCATTTGGGTACCACGGCCTCAGCCCTGGCCCCTAGGTAGCTATTTAAACCGAAGACCCTTGGATACCAAGATTTGCAGCATCCCTAGAATAGATGAAACGTTGGCTCTTGTGTGCTGTGGATTTGTTTTCCATTGGTTTTGACCTTGGGGACCTTACTTTCCTATGCCCGGCTGCTATTTAAAAGGATGATTATTATATTTTTCTGGTGTTTCCAGGTGGTTTATAGAGAATTTTTAGATTATCCAGTCCACCATATTGCCAGACATGGAAGCAGAGCACAGCTCCTGGGTTTGAATCCCAGCCTATGGTGCTGGGCAAGTCACTTCTTTTTGAGCTTCAGTTTTCTGTGTGTAAGATGGGAATGCTGATAGGACCCGCTTTATTGGGCCTTATTGGGCTGCCATGAGGATTAAATTAAATTAAATTAATTTACATATGTGAAGCACTTTGTACCATGCCTAGCACACCATAGCCCCCAATTCCTGTCTTTGTCAAGTTTCCCAAAAACCTGTTCAAATTGGGGTAGGCCAAAAACAGGGAATGTATTGGCTCCCCTAACTTAAAGTTTAGGTGTGGCTAGATCTAGAGGCTCAGAGGATGTCCTCTGGAAGCTCTTTCTCCATTTCTTCTTGCTTCCTGCATGTTGGCTTTTCCCTCCCACAGGCTCTCCTCTGGGCAAGGTAGAGATGGCCAGGGGCTCTGGCAACTCCAGGCCTGCACCCCACCAGTTTAGTACCCTAGCAGGAAAAAGCATTCCTTATTTCCAGTAGCTTCAGCAGTAAATTCGGGCTTGTATCTCTTCATGCACGAATCCCACAGGCCAGGTGGATTGATGGTTATGACTGTGCTGACCTGGTCTTGCACTTGGAGGCAGGGGCAGGAGCACTGACCTCACTGAAACCACATGCCTGGGGAACAGGAGTGCAGTGGTGGTGTTTCCCCAGAGGAAAGGAGGAGGGAGGATCCTGGGTGGGACAGAAAGAGCAGCTGCCCACCATCTGTCCTGTCTCCTGTCCCCCAGTGTTCCCCAGTCAGCTGCAGGTACACCTGGTCCTACAGCTCTGCCCTGTGCTTGGGGATCACACATACTCGGCCCGTGTGGGCACCGTCCTGGGCCAGCGCTTTCTACTGCCCGCCGAGAGCACCAAGCCCCAAAGACAGGTACCCACACCCACCGATCTGCTGTTTCCAGGGGTGGGCTGTGGGGTGAGGATGGGCAGCACCTTCAGACATTAGCTGTGAAGTCTGGGACTGAGTGGCAGTCCTGTTGGCTTCCAAGGCTATCCATAGTCCTATCTTACCATGTGGCCTTGAGCAAGTAACATCCCCTCTCTTAGGCCTCATTCTGCCCTTCTGTTCAATGAGGGACTTGAACTGGCTGATTTCTCAAGGCCCTTTTAAATCTGTTCTTTAAGTCCCTGGTATAAGGGCTAAACGTAACTGTGTGTGTGTGTGTTAGGGTAACTCTATTTGCTCTAACAGAGTAACCCCAAAGTCCCAGAGTTTAACACAATAGTTTCCCTCCACATTAAATCTAATGAATGGGGGTGGGGCAGGGGTGGGCTTTACTCCAAGCAGTCACTCAGGGACCCAGGCCACTGCTATCCAGCCAGCCCATGAAGGGAGACAGTGCAGTGCAGGTCCATGTGGGAGGTTTTCACGAGCCAGGTCTGGAAGTGGCATATACTTGCCCTCCTGTTCCATTGGCTAAAACTATCACGTGGCCTCACCAAACTGCAAGAGGGACTCAGAAATGTTTAGTTGTGTGTCAGGTGGGAACTGATTTGGTGAACCCTAGCCAGTCTCTGCCATAGTGTGACGGTATGTGTGAGTGTGTGTGTAGAGAAGAAATGAATAAGAAACTATGGACATGGAGGGAGGGAGGAAGTACCTGCCTTACTTCCATTTTGGTTAGAGCTGGTTGGAACTCAACCTGGCTGAATGCTGACACGCCTCTCCCACCCCAGGTTCTGGATGAAGCCCTCCTCAGACGCCTCCACCTGACCCCAGCCCAGGCTGCCCAGCTGCCCTTGCATCTCCACCTGCATTGTCTCCATCTTCCAGGCATGAGGCCCAGGGAGGCCCCCATGAAGCTTCTGGCACCCCTGCCCCCTTATTTTTCCAGGACCCTACAGTGCCTGGGGCTCCACCAACAATAGTCCTCTTTCTGTTCCTTCTGTTTCCACTGGAAAGCAGTGGGGATGGGGTGGGGGGTGGGGCGGAAGGATGAACCTACGGTATCAGGCTTGAGGAGAATGCAGTCAGTGCGCAACATGCACTAAGGCCATGCTTTAAGGTCCTGGGCTCTGCATTCGGACAAACCTAAGCTCAAAGCCTGGCTAGGCCACTTGCTGTACGGTATCAGGCAGATGACTTCATCTCTCTGGACGGGAATTAATAAAAGTACCTACCTCATAGTGTGGTTTTGAGGATTTGCTGAGAAAGTAAACGTTTATCATGGAGCATGCTTTCTGCTGAGTTCAATATATGGTGTTTTTATTTGGCTGTTTCTGTCCCAGTTCTAGCTGAGAGGAAATGTCTGATTTTTTTGTTGTTGTTTAATTGTGGTAAAATACACATAGCAAAATTTACCATCTTAACCATTTTTAAGTGAACAGTTCAGTGGCATTAAGTACATTCACATTGTGGTGCAACCGTCACATCCCATCATCTTGAAGAACTGAACCTCTGCCCCATTAAACACTGACACCCCATCCACTCCTCCCAGCCCCCAGTAGCCGCCATTCTCCTCTGTCTCTACGAATCTGACTACTCTGGGGACTGCATGTAAGTGAAGATCTTAGATCTTTTACTTGAAAAAATTGTGAAATATATCAAACATACAAAGAGTACATAAATAGCTCTGTGACTTAAAGAATAATTACAAGGTGACACCCATATAACCACCACTCAGGGCACAAAATAGAAACATGCCTCTCCTTCCTTGTTAGGGTAGCAATTCTCAACGCTGGCCCTATATTAGAACTCCCTCAGCGAAGCTTTAAAAAAGCCCCTTCCTACCCTGGGATTCTGCACCCCAAAGATACCAATTTTATCAATCTGGGCTGGAGATCCTGACATCAATCTTTTTTAAAGCTCCTGAAGGGGTTCTATTGTTCAGTCTAGGTTGGAACCCCCTCCCCTGACATGGGAGCTTTCCTTGCTAAAGTTTTTCCACATACATACACATCCCTAAACAATATATTTTGTTTTGCCCAATTCTGAAGTTTCCATAAATGGAGTCATGCTATATATGTATATTCTTTTGTGATTTGTTCTTGTTCCACACTGTGAAATGCATCTGTGATGCATGGTGGGTTTAAATGCCTGTGCATGACTATACCAGTTTATCCATTCTACTGTTAATGTCATCATTCAGCTGTTAGCACAACACTGGTGTGAACCTGCTTGTATGCATTTCCTGGTTCAATTATGCAAGAGATGCTGTCAGAGTATATGTATCTTCACTTGACTAGTGTATTAGTTTCCCAGGACTGCTGTAACAAAATTAGCACAACCTGAGCAGTTTAAAATAACAGAAACTGGGCGCCTGGGTGGCTCAGTTGGTTAAGCGACTGCCTTCGGCTCAGGTCATGATCCTGGAGTCCCAGGATCGAGTCCCGCATCGGGCTCCCTCCTCGGCAGGGAGCCTGCTTCTCCCTCTGACCCTCCCCCCTCTCATGTGCTCTCTGTCTCTCTCATTCTCTCTGTCTCAAATAAATAAATAAAATCTAAAAAAAAAAAAAAACTCTTAAAATAACAGAAACTGATTTTCTCAGAGATCTGTTTGGAGGCCAGAAGGCTGAGATGAAGGTGTCGACAGGGCCGTGTCCTCTGAAGCCTCTAGAGATGAATCCTTGCCTCTTCCAGCTTCTGGTGGCTGCAAGCTTTGACTCATGGCTGCATCACGTCAGTCTGCCTTCATCTTCACGTGGTCTTCTTGTGTCTGTGTCTTCTCTTACAAGGACACTTGTCATTGGATTTAGGGCCCACCTGGATAATCCAGAGTACTCTCATCTCAAGATCTTTAACTTAATACATCTATGAAGACCATTTTTCCAAAGAAAGTTATTCACGGGTTCCAGGCAGATGTATCTTTTGCGGGGAAGAGAGGCTACCATTCAACTCACTACAACTAAGAAATACCAAAGTTTTTCAGATGGGTGTGGCTGGTTGGGTATTTCCTTTCTAGGTGACCATGGCCCCTTGCTGAGGAAGGGACAGACCAACTCCCTCTGGAGAAGGGCTGGTGTTTAGGCAAGGTCCATCCTTCCCCCATCTCATGTTGTAAATCTGATGGCCGTTAGATGTCACTCCGCTGCCAGCCCAGGTTCTCCCCTGGGCTTGGAGCTTGGAGATCTCCCAGTGGTGAGCAGTCTGGCAATATGTCCTAGCCTTCTCACTGCCACATGATCTTGGGCAAGCCATGTCTCCTTGTTCAGACTCCGTTTCTTCATCTACAACGTGAGGCTTATCCCCCAATCCAAGATCGGAGATGCCAGAGAGTCCCTGCATAGAAAGCCCCATGTCTGTCACTAGGGGGTGGAATTCTGGCCCTTTGCTTTGTGGAGAGGTTGCTGATGGCCTCCACAGCTCTCATTCTGGACCTTGGGGTTTAGGGCCCCAGCCTACCCTCTTCTTCACCCTCCAATAGAAATGGAGCCAAGCCCAGGATACTTCACTTGCTCCTTTTTATTTGGCGTTGCATCCAGGATAGGGGCAGTGAGGACTGAAGCAAGGGCTTTTCTAGCCTCACGTCCCCTATGCCCCCTAGCCCCTGGTATGCATTGATAAAGGGCGGGGGTCCTGGAAGGCTCAGTGTCTTCATGAGGCATGCCTCAGCCTTGGGTTTGTCACAGAGTCTGGTCTTGAACTTGCCTTTGGCCTTGACCTTCCTGTGGGTGCTAGGAAGATTTCCAACTTCGAAGGGTAGAGGCCACAGGCACCTCCAGGATGGGAACCACGAAGGCGCTGGGGAGCAACAGCCTCGGTGTGAAAGGGAGGAAGAGGTGGAAGAAATGATCAGGAAATCTGTTCAGGAAGGGGGTTCTGAGGACAAAAGCTCTTCCCCTGGGGCTACAGCCAGCCTAGGACCTGCCCTTGCCTGGGCCCTCCAGCCCTGACCCCAGAGCCCAGGATTCAGCACTGCCCACCAGGGTGCCAGTCACAGCTCAAGGCCCACCTTTCTTGGTTTCAGGACGCTGGATGCCAACTTGAGCTCAGGGTTAGGTGGGAAGGAAATCAAAACCTTGGCAGTAGGTAGAGTCATCAAGGCCTTGCCTGTCGTCGACAGGGCCTTAGAGCCCACCAACTTGCTGTGTTGCAGTCTGAGGACCCGCCCCTGGGATCGGAGCACATGGGGAGAAGACAGCCGGGCCTTGGTGTGGAGGCTGGGGAAGTGGTAAGGGGCTGTGGGAGCAAAAGGGGCCATGAGGGCCTGGGGAGGGTCCAAGGCTGATCAGCTGCCCCTCAAGGAGAGCGTGGAGGGTGGGGAGGTGGGGGAAGATGAGGGCTGGGGTGTGAGATGGCAGGTGGAGCCCTCCCAGTTCCTCCTCCAGAGGCCGTGGGAAGAACACAGGATTTGGAGTCCAACAGACCTGGGCCTGCATCCCAGCTCTGCCCCTTCTGAGATGTGCAACCTCGGGCAACTTCCTCAAACTTCCTGATACCTCGGCTGGAAAATGGGGATAATAGCACCTACCTTGCTAGGTTGTGAGGACTAAAGGAGCTGGTTAGGTAGCGGCAGAGTGCAAACTGTTAAGTGCTGTACAAACATTAGCTCCTTCCCCCCAGAGGCAACTTTGCGTGGAGGCAAAGGCAGAATACTGCAGCAGGAAAAGCTTGGGCTCTGGAGAGAGATGGGCCTGGGACTGAGTCCTGGCATCTGAAGTAAGTCCAACTGCCTTGCGGGGTGGCTACTTTGGAGGGAACAATACTCATTTGGTCATGCATTTTTAAAAAATGCTTTTAAGTGGTGGCTTTTCCTTGCTACTGGTGTCTTTTTGGTGGGGCTATGGTGGGGGTGCAAATCCAGGTGGTTAGGAGGGGGGGCTTGGAGAGCAGGAAGAAATTGCCTTGGGACCCTGGGGTGTTTTGGGGGAATGGTCTTACCCAGGGCCTGGGGGTTCTTCAGACTCAATGGCAATCTGTTCAAGGGGTGGGGTTGCCTGTCCCCACTAGCAAAGGTCATGGTGAAAATGCAGCCCATCCTGGTGCTGGGGGGCTCCCACTTCCGGAGATTGGGGTTGACCAGGGCTGTGGCACTTTTCGCCTTGCCTTTCTTCCCCTTTCCAGGGGCCGAGGTGGTGGCAGTGGAGGCTGGCTTCTCAGTGTGCCCCAGGCTCCTGGCCCCAGCAACTTTCCTAGGAGCTGACCTGTGGGTAAGGGTCCCCGAGTCCTTGCCTTCCCCAGAGCCTCTCTGGGTCAGCAGGTGAGGGAGTGCTGGGTGGACCCCCATCCGCTGGTGACACATTGCCAGGGGCTTCTTGATGGTGGAGCCCTCTACTAGGAGCCGGATACCCACATACTGGGGTACCTCCACGGCAGGCTGTGGGAAAGAAGAGGAGATGAGCCTGTTCAGACAGTGATGCTGGAATTGTAGGCCCAGAAGGAATCAGGGCAAAGATGGATGGAATTAATTTCTGGGCTAAGAAACAGGAAGCCCACCTCTGTCCTCTAAGGAGTCTGGCTCCGTTGGCCTGTATCAGTACCTAGAAAGTCACAGAGCCCCTGGGATTAGTAACCCAGTGGAGTTAAGGAGTCTTAGCCATGCTACCACCAGCACCTCCTACCCTTTGCCCTCCCCTAAGCTCTCCCAGCCCCTGCTGGAATGTGAATGTCTCTGCTCCACAAGCCACTGCTGATGGACAGCTTCCTGAGTTAAGCCAGATTCTCTGCAGACGGAATTTGAGTTATGTCACCCAGACAGATAAGAGACTTGGAGACTGCCTGGAGCCCTGCATGAACCCACTATGGGGAAGCAGAAATTAAGAGCCTTAATGAAGGCATTCGACTAAGAGAATGAAGTAGCAAATGTGCAGAAGGAGGCAGAGAAAAAGGTTCAAGAGAGGAGCTCCTGTATGACTTTCACAATTTTCACAATATTAAGCCAGCTGTACATCCTGTAGCTAGGCTCCAGGAGAGCCCCCTGTGTCTTGCTAATGACCCCCTTTTAACCTTGAGCTACTTTGAGGTATTTTCTGTGTCAACAAAGGATCCTGATTAGAATCTATCTAAACATCAGAGTCACTTGGAGCTTGTTAAAAATACAAATATCAGAGCTCCCACAAAGCCCAACTGATACAAGAGGCAAGAATCAAAACTGGGTATCAGAACGGGGCAGTGAAAAGGATAACAGGAAAATGTGTCATGTGCACACAGCCTAGGCATCACTTTACAAAGTAAGTGATCATTGCAAAAGGGAGGATCCAACTTACAATAGAGAGATCTGGTAGCCACCACCTTAACCCCGTGGCCAGACTTAGCATCACTAATCAGGAGACACTCCAACAGTGTGTGCCTTGTGAGATGGGGCACCCAGCATCACCTCTCAAGTGTTCTTGCCAAAAATGTTTAACCTGAACCTCATCAAGCTGTTTGGCCTAACTTCTAGTTTATAGGACATTGAGATAACAGAAGAACAAGCTAAACAGCACCACGAAGAAAAAATCAGATAAATCCAGAATGTGGGACAGTTCTACAAAACAACCAGCCTGGTCCCTTCAAAAGATCCAAACAAACTATGGGGAGGGGGGCGGGGGGAAGCAGTGCCGCTGCTCTAGATTAAAAGAGATGAAAGAGCACCCAAAGGAATACAAACCTGTAATAAATGTAATCAAGGAAATGAAAGACCTGTACATTGAAAACTAAGATACTGACGAGAAAAACTGAAGACACAAATAAATGGAAAGATATTCTGTGCTCATGGATTGGAAGAATTAATGTTCCTAAAATGTCCACACGACCCAAAACAATCTACAAATTCAATGCAATCTCTTTCAAAATTCCAATGGCATTTTTCACAAAAATAGAAAAACAATCCTAAATCTTATATGGAACCACAAAAGACCCTGCACAGTCCAATTTTTTTTTAAGATTTTTATTTTTAAGTCATCTCTACACCTAACATGGGGCTCAAACTCAGGACCCTGAGATCAAGAGTCACACACTCCACCGACTGAGCCAGCCAGGAGCCCCCAAACCAATTTTGAGAAAGAAGAACAAAGCTGGAAGCATCACACTCACTGACTTCAAACTATACTACAAAGCTATAGCAATCAAACAGTATGGTACTGGCATAAAAACAGACACCTAGATCAATTGAACAGAATACAGAGCTGCCCAGAAATAAACCCACACATACAAGGTGAACTAATTTATGACAAAGGAGGTATGAGTATTCAATGGGGAAAGGACAGTCTCTTCAATAAATGGTGCTGGGAAAACTGGAAGCCACATTCAAAAGAATGAACCCAGACCACTATCTATAACACATAAAAACCAACTCAAGATGGATTAAAGTGAATTTAAGACCTGAAACCATAAACCTCCTAGAGGAAAACACAGGCAGTACTAAGCTCCTTGACATCAGTCTTGGCAAGGATTTTTTGGATTTGATACGAAAAGCAAAGGTAACAAAAGCAAAAATAAACACATGGGACTACATCTAACTAAAAAGCTTCTGCACAACAAAGGAAACCATCAACAAAGTAAAAAGGCAACCTGCCAAACAGGATAAAATATTTGCAAATCATATATCTGATAAGGGGCTAATATCTAAAATATATAAAGAACTCCTACAACTCAATGGCAAAAACACAAATAATCTGATTTAAAAATGGGCAGAGGATCTGAACAGATATTTTTCCAGAGATGACAGACAGATGGCCAACAGGCACATGAAAAGGTGCTCAACATCACTAATCATGGGGGAAATGGGATATCACCTCACATGTGTTAGAATGGCTATTTTCAAAAAGGTAAGAAAAACAAGTGTTGGTAAGGGTGTGAAGAAAAGGGAACCCTTGTGAGCTGTTAGTGAGAATATAAACTGGTGCAGCCCCTGTGCAAGATAGTATGGAGGGGCGCCTGGGTGGCTCGTTGTTAAGCGTCTGCCTTTGGCTCAGGTCATGATCCTGGGGTACTGGGATCGAGCCCCGCATCAGGCTCCCTGCTCTGCGGGAAGCCTGCTTCTCCCTCTCCCACTCCCCCTGCTTGTGTTCCCTCTCTCGCTGTCAAATAAATAAATAAGATCTTAGGAAAAAAAAAAAATAGTATGGAGCTTCCTCAAAAAATTAAAAATAGAACTACCACACGATCCACCAATTCCACTTCTGAGTATTTACCTGAAGGGGAAAAAAAATTACTAACTTGAATAAATAATCTGCACCCCCATGTTCATGGCAGTATTATTTACAACAGCCAAGACATGGAAGCAACACAAGTGTCCATCAATGGATGAACGAATACAGAAAATGTGTCTGTCTGTTTAGCTAGCTAGCTAGCTAGCTATCATGGAATATTATTTAGACATAAAACAGAAGGAAATCTTGCCATTTGTGACAAAACGGCTGGGCTTTGAGGGCATTATGCTAAGTGAAATAAGTCAGGGAGAAAGACAAATATCTCATGATGTAAATTAAATGTGGAATCTAAAATAAAAACAAAAACAAAACCCAAAACTCTGAACTCATAGATAGGGAACAGATTAGTAGTTGCCAGAGGCAGTAGGCGAAATGGATGAAGGGGGCCAAAAGGTACAAACATCCAGTTATAGAATAAGCAAATCACAGGGGTGCCTGGGTGGCTCAGTCAGTTAAGCGGCTGACTCTTGATTTCGACTCAGGTCATGATCTCAGGGTTATAAGATTGAGCCCCTGGTCAGTCTCCGTGCTGGGCATGGAGCCTGCTTAAAATTCTATCTCTCCCTCTCCCTCTGGCCCTCCCCACCCTGCTCTCTCTCTCTCCCTCTCTAAAAAAAAAAAAAAAAAAAGTAAATCATAGATGTAATGTACAGCATGGTAACTATAGTTAATACTGTATTGCATATTTGAAAGTTGCTAAGAGAGTAGATCTTAAAAGTTTTCATCAGAAGAAAATAAAATTATAACTATGTGTGGTAATGGATGTTAGCTAGACTTATTGTGGTCGTCATTTCACAACATATACAAATATCGAATATATACATATACAAATATTGTATACTTTAAGTGAATATAAGACTGCATGTCAATTACACCTCAATAAGAAAAAAACTTCAGAGAGATCCAAGTCCTTTAAAGCAGCTACAGATCTTTTAAGCATCCCAAGGCATACCTACAGGTCTTATGTTTAAATCTTTAATACATTTTAAGTTAACAGGGAGGGTTATAGGCACTCTCTGTTAACAGTAGGGCTTCTGTAATTGTGAGGGCTGTTGTCCTACAGCAGCCTCATAGGAAGAAGAGTTCTAGGATTTGTGGATATGGATTTTGTGTAATAGAATAGATTATAAATTGATACCTAAGAAACCCACAGTGTTTTTAAAATCCACTTGAACAGAAAGGGACAGATACAATATGAAATGAAAAAGGCTTCTGTATCCCCAAATTTCTATGAGCAGGTAACAGACTAAGAACTATTGAGGATGTTCATGGAAAAGGAAGGATGATTCAGGGCTGAACTGAGATCCCAATGGATGGGAGCAAGAGCCATGGAGAACTCCTAGGAAGTAACAATGGGTCTTAACAGCAAAACTGGAAATATGAGCAAGGCTAGATTTCAGAGTTGTTATGGACCAGTGCTTCCTGTGTACCTCCTACCCTGCCTCAATGCCAAGTGTGTATCTTGATTATATGTTAGTTTAAAAAACAAAAACAGGGGCACCTGGGGGGCTCTGTCCACTGAGTATCTGATTCTTGATTTGGGCTTGGGTTGTGGTCTTGGAGTTGTGGGATTGAGCTCCGCATCAGGCTCCGTACCAGGCTCCGCACTCAGTGCAAAGTCTGCTTGAGAATCTCTCGCTCTCTCTCTCCCTCTGTCCCTCTCCCTGCTTATGCTCTCTCTCTCTCTAAAATAATTAAATTCTTTAAAAGATTATAAAAAACAAAAACAAATAAGCTATAAAATTTTGGGGGGACAACTAGGACATCTGAAAAATGCAGATGTATAATCTCTAAACCAGACATTTCAGATCAGTCTCTGGGGTGTGGCTTCCTGACACCTGTATCTTTGGAAAGCTTGCCAGGTGATTCTGGCCTCTGAACCAGCATTTGGGAACCATTGTGCTAGAACATTCCCTTCTCCCTTGGTTTTGTCTTATTTTTCTGCCCTTATATTTCTTCACTTATGTTTGATTTTTAAGATTTATTTATTTATTTGCCAGAGAGGGAGAACAAGTGCATGCAGAAGCAGACAGAGCGGCGTGCAGGCAAAGGGAGAAGCAGGCTCCCCGCTGAGCAGAGAGCCTGGGATCATGACCCCAGCAAAAGGCAGACGCTTAACTGAGTGAGCCACCCAGGCGCCCCATGTTTTTGTTTTTGTTTAAGATTTTATTTATTTAGACAGGGCTCCGTAGTCAGGGGTTAGAGCACTGGTCTCGTAAGATTTTATTTATTTGCCAGAAAGAAAGAGCACAAGCAGGGGGAGAAGCAGGCAGAGGCAGAGGGAAACGCAGACCCCCCCGCCGAGCAGGGAGCCCGATGTGGGACTCGATCCCAGAACTCCGGGATCATGACCTGAGCCGAAGGGAGTCGTTTAACCAACTGAGCCACCCAGGTGCCCTTGGTAATTTCTTTAGATCTATTTTCCAGGTGAATAATTTTCTGTTCAGTTGGATCTAATCTGCCAGTTCAGCCCACCTGTTGACTGTATTTTTCTTCACTTCTAGAAGTTCTGTTTGGTTGTTTTACAAATAAAAATGGCCTTATATAGCATTTTTTTTCTCATATTATTTGTTCAGGTTAAATATACTGATACTGTATTTCTACATTTTCATTGTCTGAAATTCTGGAGGGCCTAATCCTATGATGTTTCATACTGACTCTCACACTTGGTAGATTGTTTCATTGCTCTGTGATTCAGGATTGTGAATTCAAGTTCAGCTGGGCCTTTATCTGTGGAAAGCTTGTGTTGCCTCACTGTAGGTAGGGCCTTCGGGAGAGGTTCTGCCTTTGCTTCTGCCAAATGCCCCAGAGCTGTCACTGCTTCAGGATCTCCTTAAATATTAATGTCTTGGTTGGAAGTTCACAGATCACTCTGGTATTAATTTGGGTCCCAAGCCTGTGTGAGATCAGGCTCATGGTTGTGAATTCTTAGAGGAAAACTTCTTCATTCCCCTCATCCACACCTATGGTGATCATCTGCCTTCATCGGTGGCTGGCTTTTTCTCCTGGTTCACCCCTTCACTGAAGATATAGCCCCTCTAGGATTTCATTTGGGTACCACGGCCTCAGCCCTGGCCCCTAGGTAGCTATTTAAACCGAAGACCCTTGGATACCAAGATTTGCAGCATCCCTAGAATAGATGAAACGTTGGCTCTTGTGTGCTGTGGATTTGTTTTCCATTGGTTTTGACCTTGGGGACCTTACTTTCCTATGCCCGGCTGCTATTTAAAAGGATGATTATTATATTTTTCTGGTGTTTCCAGGTGGTTTATAGAGAATTTTTAGATTATCCAGTCCACCATATTGCCAGACATGGAAGCAGAGCACAGCTCCTGGGTTTGAATCCCAGCCTATGGTGCTGGGCAAGTCACTTCTTTTTGAGCTTCAGTTTTCTGTGTGTAAGATGGGAATGCTGATAGGACCCGCTTTATTGGGCCTTATTGGGCTGCCATGAGGATTAAATTAAATTAAATTAATTTACATATGTGAAGCACTTTGTACCATGCCTAGCACACCATAGCCCCCAATTCCTGTCTTTGTCAAGTTTCCCAAAAACCTGTTCAAATTGGGGTAGGCCAAAAACAGGGAATGTATTGGCTCCCCTAACTTAAAGTTTAGGTGTGGCTAGATCTAGAGGCTCAGAGGATGTCCTCTGGAAGCTCTTTCTCCATTTCTTCTTGCTTCCTGCATGTTGGCTTTTCCCTCCCACAGGCTCTCCTCTGGGCAAGGTAGAGATGGCCAGGGGCTCTGGCAACTCCAGGCCTGCACCCCACCAGTTTAGTACCCTAGCAGGAAAAAGCATTCCTTATTTCCAGTAGCTTCAGCAGTAAATTCGGGCTTGTATCTCTTCATGCACGAATCCCACAGGCCAGGTGGATTGATGGTTATGACTGTGCTGACCTGGTCTTGCACTTGGAGGCAGGGGCAGGAGCACTGACCTCACTGAAACCACATGCCTGGGGAACAGGAGTGCAGTGGTGGTGTTTCCCCAGAGGAAAGGAGGAGGGAGGATCCTGGGTGGGACAGAAAGAGCAGCTGCCCACCATCTGTCCTGTCTCCTGTCCCCCAGTGTTCCCCAGTCAGCTGCAGGTACACCTGGTCCTACAGCTCTGCCCTGTGCTTGGGGATCACACATACTCGGCCCGTGTGGGCACCGTCCTGGGCCAGCGCTTTCTACTGCCCGCCGAGAGCACCAAGCCCCAAAGACAGGTACCCACACCCACCGATCTGCTGTTTCCAGGGGTGGGCTGTGGGGTGAGGATGGGCAGCACCTTCAGACATTAGCTGTGAAGTCTGGGACTGAGTGGCAGTCCTGTTGGCTTCCAAGGCTATCCATAGTCCTATCTTACCATGTGGCCTTGAGCAAGTAACATCCCCTCTCTTAGGCCTCATTCTGCCCTTCTGTTCAATGAGGGACTTGAACTGGCTGATTTCTCAAGGCCCTTTTAAATCTGTTCTTTAAGTCCCTGGTATAAGGGCTAAACGTAACTGTGTGTGTGTGTGTTAGGGTAACTCTATTTGCTCTAACAGAGTAACCCCAAAGTCCCAGAGTTTAACACAATAGTTTCCCTCCACATTAAATCTAATGAATGGGGGTGGGGCAGGGGTGGGCTTTACTCCAAGCAGTCACTCAGGGACCCAGGCCACTGCTATCCAGCCAGCCCATGAAGGGAGACAGTGCAGTGCAGGTCCATGTGGGAGGTTTTCACGAGCCAGGTCTGGAAGTGGCATATACTTGCCCTCCTGTTCCATTGGCTAAAACTATCACGTGGCCTCACCAAACTGCAAGAGGGACTCAGAAATGTTTAGTTGTGTGTCAGGTGGGAACTGATTTGGTGAACCCTAGCCAGTCTCTGCCATAGTGTGACGGTATGTGTGAGTGTGTGTGTAGAGAAGAAATGAATAAGAAACTATGGACATGGAGGGAGGGAGGAAGTACCTGCCTTACTTCCATTTTGGTTAGAGCTGGTTGGAACTCAACCTGGCTGAATGCTGACACGCCTCTCCCACCCCAGGTTCTGGATGAAGCCCTCCTCAGACGCCTCCACCTGACCCCAGCCCAGGCTGCCCAGCTGCCCTTGCATCTCCACCTGCATTGTCTCCATCTTCCAGGCATGAGGCCCAGGGAGGCCCCCATGAAGCTTCTGGCACCCCTGCCCCCTTATTTTTCCAGGACCCTACAGTGCCTGGGGCTCCACCAACAATAGTCCTCTTTCTGTTCCTTCTGTTTCCACTGGAAAGCAGTGGGGATGGGGTGGGGGGTGGGGCGGAAGGATGAACCTACGGTATCAGGCTTGAGGAGAATGCAGTCAGTGCGCAACATGCACTAAGGCCATGCTTTAAGGTCCTGGGCTCTGCATTCGGACAAACCTAAGCTCAAAGCCTGGCTAGGCCACTTGCTGTACGGTATCAGGCAGATGACTTCATCTCTCTGGACGGGAATTAATAAAAGTACCTACCTCATAGTGTGGTTTTGAGGATTTGCTGAGAAAGTAAACGTTTATCATGGAGCATGCTTTCTGCTGAGTTCAATATATGGTGTTTTTATTTGGCTGTTTCTGTCCCAGTTCTAGCTGAGAGGAAATGTCTGATTTTTTTGTTGTTGTTTAATTGTGGTAAAATACCCATAGCAAAATTTACCATCTTAACCATTTTTAAGTGAACAGTTCAGTGGCATTAAGTACATTCACATTGTGGTGCAACCGTCACATCCCATCATCTTGAAGAACTGAACCTCTGCCCCATTAAACACTGACACCCCATCCACTCCTCCCAGCCCCCAGTAGCCGCCATTCTCCTCTGTCTCTACGAATCTGACTACTCTGGGGACTGCATGTAAGTGAAGATCTTAGATCTTTTACTTGAAAAAATTGTGAAATATATCAAACATACAAAGAGTACATAAATAGCTCTGTGACTTAAAGAATAATTACAAGGTGACACCCATATAACCACCACTCAGGGCACAAAATAGAAACATGCCTCTCCTTCCTTGTTAGGGTAGCAATTCTCAACGCTGGCCCTATATTAGAACTCCCTCAGCGAAGCTTTAAAAAAGCCCCTTCCTACCCTGGGATTCTGCACCCCAAAGATACCAATTTTATCAATCTGGGCTGGAGATCCTGACATCAATCTTTTTTAAAGCTCCTGAAGGGGTTCTATTGTTCAGTCTAGGTTGGAACCCCCTCCCCTGACATGGGAGCTTTCCTTGCTAAAGTTTTTCCACATACATACACATCCCTAAACAATATATTTTGTTTTGCCCAATTCTGAAGTTTCCATAAATGGAGTCATGCTATATATGTATATTCTTTTGTGATTTGTTCTTGTTCCACACTGTGAAATGCATCTGTGATGCATGGTGGGTTTAAATGCCTGTGCATGACTATACCAGTTTATCCATTCTACTGTTAATGTCATCATTCAGCTGTTAGCACAACACTGGTGTGAACCTGCTTGTATGCATTTCCTGGTTCAATTATGCAAGAGATGCTGTCAGAGTATATGTATCTTCACTTGACTAGTGTATTAGTTTCCCAGGACTGCTGTAACAAAATTAGCACAACCTGAGCAGTTTAAAATAACAGAAACTGGGCGCCTGGGTGGCTCAGTTGGTTAAGCGACTGCCTTCGGCTCAGGTCATGATCCTGGAGTCCCAGGATCGAGTCCCGCATCGGGCTCCCTCCTCGGCAGGGAGCCTGCTTCTCCCTCTGACCCTCCCCCCTCTCATGTGCTCTCTGTCTCTCTCATTCTCTCTGTCTCAAATAAATAAAT